TTTAATTAAAGAAATTTTAAACAATTCAAGGATCAAATTGATTGAAATTGAAAACTATAGACTACATTGACAGTTGAAAAACAATTGAGGGGCTAAAATGGTGATTAACTCTTAAATATATATTTCTTTATTTATTTTCGTATAAATAAAATCAATATATAAAAACATATACCATTAAAAATATCTCATTGAGATCTTTTAAATGATAATTGAAATTGTACCGCGGGTCTTGAATGCAAGTTAATAACTATAGTTCTACTTGGTTTTAATTAATGAATTAACACACCATTAATTATGTTAATTTTGTGAATGAACAAAAACAAATTAAGGTAAGAAAGTAGAACTAGGAATTCACCCAGTTCGGAGGAAACCTCCTACATTTGTGGATTTAAATAGTAACTAAGTATTTTTGTTGCAAGGGATTCAAATATATTTAATAAATGCACATACGAATCAGTGAATGAATCAAAGGTACCAGTCCTTTAAGTGTTTTGCTCAGTGTCCATTCACCATTATTGTTGAATGAATTATTATGGATAAAGAAATTCTTAATTTAAAGAATTTAGATGAAGTAGTAATAATTTAAAATTTTTAAATATAATGTAACCTAAAGATATTGGACGGTTGGTAAATATATGTAACCCAAAGATCAAAATGCTAAAGCAAATGTTTGGTTATTCAACAGTTTGGAGCAACAATTTGTTCCAAACCACTGAAAATACAAACACTGCAATTTACAATCTTTTCACTTAGTGTTTTGAATAATGATTTCCCCAAAACACACCTGTATTAAAAGAAAAAAACGTTTACCGTGTAGCCGTTTTGATTCAATGAATAACAAGAGCCAGTTTAGCTAGTTCACTGTTTGCCCATCAACGTATAGGCAAACTTAATTTTTAAATTAGAGTCTTGAGGCTCCTATCTAACTCACATGCCACTTTTCCCACCGATGTAGGAAAAGTGGCAAAATTTAAGGGGCTCCCAATATGTTTTATTTTTTGAAATTTTATTTCTTTTATTAAATTATTATTATTATTATTATTATTATTATTATTATTATTATTATTATTATTATTATTATTATTATTATTATTATTATTATTATTATGAATACCCTTTAAGTCATTTTACATGTTAATCTAAGCAGCTAATTTTCAAATGTCTTTTTACCAATCGCAGATATTATTCGCTGGTCAAACCCACTAATATAATCCGCTATTTGCTAACTGCTAACACAATCCGCTAACGCTAACCACTAACTGCTGATTTCCTAACAAGGACATCGCGAGGTAGGTCCCCACTTCAATTTGTTGTGTGATTTGAATACTCTCTTTGTCAACAAATCCCCAAGTAGTTAATATAATTTGCTTAATTATATTTTATTTTAATTTTTTCATGGTATTAATAAAATACTTAGTAAATAAATATATAGCTTTATTTTGTATTATAACTTTGATATTTAATTAAAAAATAATGTACAAAAAAAAAAGATAATAGACAATGTAGTGAATATAATCAATTGATGAATTTGAATGTAAATAATTTTTACATTGGAGAAAAATAAAGACAATATAACTAATGAAATTATTTCTCTTAATTAATTTATTGATAATGAGTATTTTTTTTAATAAAGACATTGTAGGGACAATGTAGCGAATATAATCAATTGATGAATTTGAATGTAAAGAGTTTTTACATTGAATAAATACCAAGCATTTTTCTCCCGGTCTCCGCTCGACAATAGTCTCTTTACACTTTTCTATGTTATTAAGAATAAATGATGAATTTGCTAAAAATTTACAAACACTCAACTTCCTGAAAACTTCCCAGAATACTCTTTAAATTTCTCATAGCTTCCTTGTTTCATTGTTTATGCATGCACTTTTCTATATTCACCATTTTAGTGGAGGTTTAGTTAATTTGCTTTATCATCTTTACCGCGTTCTCCTTTCCAATTTGCAATTATGAGAGATTGATCTGTGATGATAGAATAGAGCTAAGAATTGATAACTTTATAATTTAAAAATAGAATAAAAGCCAATAAATAAGAAAGGGCAACATCAGCCTAATTTACACTTGGTTGCCTTTGCAATAGGTTACACACCAACGGGGCGTTTGGTTGGAAGGATGAAATTAGATGGGAAATGGATTGCAATTCCATAGAAGATGAATAATGTGAAAATAAATTAATAATTTAAATTTCAGTATTTAGTTTGTAGGAATAAAATTATTAAGAATTTCAATTCCAATATTTGGTATACATGGATGGGAATTGAAAGAGAATAAGTAATATAAATTCCAAAATGTTAATAATAATAATAATAATAATAATAATAATAATAATAATAATAATAATAATAATAATAATAATAATAATAATAATTTTATTATTATTATGAAGTATTATTATATGTTAGGAACAAATGTAATTAGATTTTGATGATACCAATTTTGCTAGGAATGTAGACCTCTATTTTCTTTCTGTTTTAGAACTTTCGTTACAAACGAAAGCCATTGTAACTCAACATATGATTCGCACTATGTAGTACATGAATCTTAGTTGAGGCTAGCGTGATAGGTCTACTTGAAGATTTGAAGACAAGCGAAGGATGAGATCAGAGATCGTTGCAGACAAAAGATGAATGGATCTTGCTCTCGTTTAGATGTTAAATGATAAGAAAGATCGTTTGATAACGAAAGAGATGGACTTTGTCTCTCAACTGGGCAATCATTCTAGACAAAAGGTGTCCTAGGAATGATATTCACAAAAACTAAGGAGCATTAAATGATTAGTACCCTCTTGACAGTGAAAAAGGACAAAAAGCCATGTTGCTTTTTGACATCAACGGCTACATAGTACAGCCACATTAAATGCTCTATGCCCACTGGTCTATACATGTTGGTTAATAGGTTCGAAATTTTCATCTCCCTCTAAAAGATAAATTTTTTTTCACCTATAAATACCCCTCTTCACCATTGAAGAAGGTGCTAATTGTTCGACAGATTTTATCCTTAGAAAAGCTCTTTAAACAAGTTCATTCATAAGCTTTTCATAATCAGCGTGTTACGTTTGTGAAGTTTTCAAAGAGATTCATCTTAAATCTACACTTCACAAACTTGAAGAAGTCTTGCATCTTTCCTCACGTGAAGATTCATCCAGTCAACAAGACAAGACTTCAACCTGTTGGGGAAAGACACCATTTTCTTTACAACCGTCAACTCTGAAGAATAAGTTGATAGAGGCGGAGTAAACTCGAGGAGTTGAAAAACCTATTAAGTGGTTGTCCGGCTTAGTGATCAAGGAAGCTAGCTTGAAGTAGTTTGTACTAGGAGTGATAGTACAAACCCTTTCACAGGTTGTGAAAGAAGAGTGGAGTAGGCTTTGTTAACAACCGAATCACTATAAAAATCTCTCTCTCTATCTCTCTTTACTTTCCGTTAATTATCTTTCGTGCATCGCATATCATACTGACCCAATGATATTCTTTCGTAACAAAGTTGTGCAAAGTTCAAGTTAAAACGAACTAATTATTCCACTGTGCGTCTCTCAGAAAGGAGTTGCTTTGAAAAATCGAGTATAGTCTCCCCCCCCCCCCCCCTCTAGACTCTCCTTTCGACCCTACCGGGACCAACAAGTGGTATCAGAGCGGTTACCTTGAACGGTACACGTTTTGCCTTTACTGTCTGGTAGATCCCTTTTGATAATATATTAGAAAATTTTCATTTTCAGCTTTGCACGTTTTTTCTTAAAAATTCATTATGTTAAATGATCATGCTAACCGTTCTATGCCTCTTACCTTTAATCTCTCTAAGTTTGATGATTGGAAAGTCAGGATGCATGCTCATCTCTTGGGTATACATGATGAAATGTGGGACGTCATAGAATATGGTCCTATTGTGATAATGATGGTAAATGCACAAGCAATTGCTCAAGAAGCAGATCCTGAAGTATTGATCCCTAAAACTAAGTCTCAGCTCACGTCAGAAGAAAGGACGAGAGCAAATCTTGACAATGTTGCATGAGACATCCTTTACAAATCTCTTGATGACTCGTTGTTGCCGAGAGTACGTAAATGCAGAACAGCTAAGGAAATTTGGGATACTCTTATGAGACTAGGTGAAGGACAAGAACAAGATAAAGACAACAAGCTCACGGTAGCTATAAAGAAGTTTGATGACTTCAAAATGCTTCCCAACGAGACTGTTACTGAGATGGAGCTTAGGTTCACGAAACTCATGGGAGACCTCTCAGATCTCGGAAAAGAGCCAACCGAGAAGGAGAAGAACCTAAAAGTACTTCGAGGACTTCCAAAGTCGTGGGAGATGAAGGTGACAGCAATGAGAGATCACCGAGACATGAAAACTACTCAGACAACCAAAATCTTTAGTGATCTCAAGGCTTACGAATTCGAGCATGAACCCAAAGAATTTGAAGAATCAGAAACAAGAAACATCGCCTTAGCTGCAACTCAACATCTTTCGACATAAAGCAGGTCAAACTCTAATCCCCCTGATTTCCTATTTGATGAACAGTTTGCTTTGTTTGTGCGAAAGATGAAAAGGTTCATGAGGAAGAACAACTTTCAAGATCATCAAAAGTTTCCAAATTCTTCCAACCGAAGGCAATACGAAAGATCACCTCGGTCTTCGAAACAAGAAACGATGGATGCACAAGTGCTATGCTACAACTGTCGGAAATGAGGACATTTCAAAGCGAATTGTCCTCACCCCATGGTCCGCAAATACCAGGACCAGGAACCTAGCACGAGCTCACCAAAAGATGCTGCCGAAACCAGCGGATAAAGTGGAAAACAGGAAGCAACCCATCCATGACACGACAGAAGACAAAAAGCAATGGTCGTGAATGAACCAACTGGAGAAGCTAAGTTGAACCCGAAAGTAGCTCCTCAAGTTCAAGTTCAGAAAGTGAGAGCTCAGGAGATGAAAAAGAACTCCTATGCCTATACAGCCAAGAAGAAAACACATACGATCTATGCTTAATGGCACAAGATGATGACGTAAACCCTAATTCCTCCTCATCTACTCAAATAGAGCCTAGCTCTGAAAGTGAAGGAAATCCAAATGAAACAATCTTTGAGATGATGATGGATTTCAAGGTAATCAAAAACACCTACTCCAAACTGAAAGAAGAGAACTCTCGGCTATTGATAAGCTATGATGAGCTTAGACGCGTTAGAATAAAAAACATTGAGCTAGCCATCACAAATGATCAGCTTGAGAAGCAAGTTCGCCTTCTTAAGGAGCTGTGTACAGAAAGAGAGCTAAGGGAGCAACATCTGTGTGAGGTTCTTGACTCATTTAATAATTCATCCATTCTAATGGATCAATTAGTAAATGGATCAAAACTGGCAGAGGAAATAACTGAAATTGGTTTCGACCCTAGCTCCTCAGCACAAACCTTGTTAAACAAACTTGTAAACTCATTCTCACAAGAAGGGTTTAGATCTATGTTTGTACAAGGTGCTACTCAGCAGCCTGAGCCTATGACCAAGATTGACACTGGAAAACAACCACAACCAACGAGCCAACCGAAAGGAAAGGCTGTACAACAAGTTTTGGAACCTCAAAATGGAAGATTCTTGAAAGGCAATCCTAGACATAATGCAAATGTCAAAAGGAATGGACCGAAAGTTAATAGACCTAGTCTATACTATCAAAAGGGTCAGCCTACAAGAACTAACAAAAGGAAGGTAAATCCGAATGTCAATCAGAGGCAAAATCGTTCAGTACAATAACGAAAGGTTCCTTCACAATGAACTCAAATAAATGAAAGAAAAAAACATGCCAATAGTTCACTTAGAAGACCAATGACGGGTAACGGATGGAGTGGACCATCCGAGGAAGATTGGCTTGTGTATCCCGAACCTTTATCAAAAGCAGAATTTGAAAAGATTCATCGGCATAAACAAGCTAACTATTTTAAGCAGTATCGCAATCCACCAAATTCCTATTTTTAAAGTCGATACAAGGCCAAAACTTTCGTAAAAGTTTACTATGCTTATCGAGTCTTTAATGGATATAGAGGACCGAGGATGAGTGATACAAGCTCTAGATTCGTCTGGATTCCGAAACTTACAACTAACCCTCAAGGACCCGAAACTCGTGGAGTACCTAAATCTGCATAATCTTTAATTTGATTTCAGGAAAAACATGTCATTTGGTATGTGGATAGTGGATGCTCAAGACATATGATCGGAGATAAGTCAAATTTGAGCAACTATAGAGAAGTTGATGGGCCAAAAGTTGTCTTTGGAGGAGAATCTAGTGGAAAGACACCAGGAACTGGAGACATAATCAAACATGGAATAGTCATTCGAGATGTCTCACATGTTGAAGGACTCAAGTTCAATATTCTAAGCACTAGTCAATTTTGTGAACAAGGGATACAAAGTCGAGTTCTCCAAAGACGAGTGTAAAGTGATCAGCACTAAAGATGGTGACACCGTTCTCACAGCAAGACGAAAGAAAAACATGTACGTTGTAAATTGGGAATTATCTAAAATTAATGTTTGTCTTGTTGCTAAGAATAATGCAGATTTAAGCTGGGAATGGCACAACAAGATGATTCATCTTAACCTGAAAACCATCAACAAATTGGCCAAGAAAGATCTTGTAGAAGGCTTGCCGAAAGTACCTTACGTCAAGGATAGAATTTGTGAGGCATGTCAGAAAGGCAAACAAATTAAAGCCTGATTCAAGTCAAAGTTCTCAGACGCAAACTCTTGACCACTAAGTCTTCTACACATGGATTTATTTGGACCAGTCGATCCAGCCAGTCTACGTGGACGAAAGTATTCTCTCGTTGTAGTAGATTACTACACGAGATATACCTGGACCCTTTTTCTAAAGAAGAAAAATGAGACTGAGAAGGTGCTACCTAATCTCTTAAGGCAACTACAGACTGAAAAGGAAATCAATATCATAAGAATCAGATCAGATCAGGGAACGAAATTTGTGGACAAAATGGCATATTTCATCAACTTTCGGCTGCACGAACACCTCAACAAAATGGAGTTGCAGAAAGAAGGAACAGAACAATGAAAGAAGCTGCATGAACTATGATAGCATACTCAGGCTTGCCAAAGCGCTTCTGGGCCGAAACAATCAACACTGCATGCTACACTCAAAATCGATCATGTTGACTCAAAGTATTTTGTCAAAGTTATGTGCAAAAGGAATTCCAGTTCTATAAAGGAATACCAGTCCTAAGAGGAATAGTTATTGAAGAATACTATTTCTAAGGGGATTTGTTGTTGAAGATTTTCTAGTTCAAGTTTGATTAGGAATAGCTTTGTTATTCACGAATCCGTTAGGGGTAGCTACTATAAATATGGGTTGTCCTTAATTGTAGAATTCAAGCATTCAACATTAATCTTGTGAGGTCTGAGAGTCTTTGAGAATATGATATAGTTTGGTAGGAAAGATCATTCTATTGTGTAATCATAGGTTCCAAACAGTGTACTTTAAATATTGAGCTTTTAGTGGATTTAGGCAAATTCTCAAAGTGAGAAGTTCCTCGCAGATTAGGGTTGTTTGCCCGAACTACGTTACAGATTTTTTGTGTTACAACTTCAGTTTCAAATCCCTGGGTGCTGCGTTTTACAAATTTCAATTGGTATCAGAGCCAAACTGCTTAAGTTACTAGCAGGATCCTAATGGAGTTTCCAAGAGAAAGACTATAAAAAAACAGGCCACCTGCCCTATTTGGTAAAAACTTCTCCTACTGGAAAGCTAGAATGAAAATATATATCTTGGCACAAGGGGAAGGAGTCTGGAATGCTATAGAAAATGAATGGAAAAACCCAGTTGATGATAAAGGTAATCGAAAACCTAAAATCAACTGGAACGAACAAGAAAGAAGAAAATATAATTTCAACTCAAAGGCAATGAACGCCATCTATGGAGCTGTAAGTAAAGATACCTTCAAACTGATCACCACAACTGGTATAGCCAAAATTGCATGGGATATATTATGTGATCATCACGAAGGAAACACGTCTGTCAGGCAATCCAAATTACAAATGATACAGAAAGACTTTGAAAACTTGAAAATGGAAGAAGAAGAGAACATCACTCAATTCAGTGCCAGAGTTTTAAGTATCTCTGGAGATGCGTTCAACTTAGGCGAACCTATTCCTGAACATAGGCTCGTCAAAAAGGTTCTACGTTCTCTACCGGAGAGATTCATGGTAAAAGTTACAGCCATCCAAGAAAACAAAGATCTAAACACCTACAAACTCAGTGATTTAATGGGAAATCTTCAAACATATGAGCTTGAGATGCTGCAAAGCAAGAAGAATAATGGAAAAGGAATTGTGTTCCAATCAAAACAAGAAGAGAGTCCAGAAATTGATACCGAAAGCATGGAGCAATCAATTGATCTCTTAACAAAGAACTTCAACAGAGTTTTCAAAAAGTTCAACAAGTTTAGAAATAAAAACCCTTCGAATGGCCAAGGAAATTCCTCAACCGGTTAAAAACCACCAAGTACGAAAAGAAGAGACATTTCAAACACAGAAGGGATACAGTGCTATGAGTGCAAAGGGTTTGGACACATCCAGTCCAAATGTCCAACATACTTTAAAAGGAAGAACAAAACATATGTGACAACACTTAGCGATGGCTCATATAGTGAATAAGACACCAACACTAATTTCGTAGCATTCACCGCAAATCATGAGAATGACAACGGAAACGAAAATGATATACAAGAACTGCTAGAGTCATATACACAGCTGCATTCTAAATGGGAACAACTCATCAAAGTAAATCTTGAACTCATACATGAAAATCAGTTTCTAAAAGATGAAAAAGAGAATGATGAAAAACTCCTCAAAGAAACTCAAAAAGAACTGTTCGAATTTAAAAACAAGGAGGCCAAACTGTTATAAGAATCAAGGCACTAGATGGAAGGCCTAAATCTCCAAATCCAGAGTCCAGTGAAAGCCACTCTTCTGAAAATCCTGAGGTGTCACAACATCACTTTCAACACCGGAGGAGATGCAGATGCTATTACTGCCACAGATTGGGACACATAAAGGCGTACTGCTTCAAAAGACAAAATGATCTCTATTACAGACAAAACAACAGAGATTGGGCAGTACAAAGCAAAAATAACAGCAAGAAAATCTGGGTAAGAAAAGATCAGAATGTTGCATACACCTCAAAAACTAGCGAAGAACAAAACGTATGGTATTTTGACAGCGGGTGTTCAAGACACATGACTGGAAATCCTAACAACCTTAAGGACATTCAATACAAAACTGAAGGACATGTAACATTTGGAGATGGAGGTAAGGGACAAATTATTTCTAATGGAACTCTAAGTGTACACGGTCTACCTATATTGCCAAGAGTTTTTCTAGTACAAGGACTAAAAGCAAACCTTATCAGTATAAGTCAATTGTGTGAAGATGAACTAAAAGTAGAATTTTCCAAAGAGAGTTGTAAAGTCTACAACCAAAGATATGAATGTGTGATGAAGGGAAAACGATTTTCCGATAAAAGTTACAAATGGGATAGCGATCTAACTTGTCATTAATCTACCATCAATCAAACACCATTGAGGCATCCATTATGGGGGAGAAGAATCAGAAATCAAGCCACTATGAGATCAAGGTTTTTGCCAAAGATTTGACAAAGGGGGAGAGTGTTGACTCACAGTATTTTGTCAAAGGTATGTGCAAAAAGAATTTCAGTTCTATAAAGGAATATCAGTCCTAAGAGGAATAGTTATTGAAGAATACTAGTTCTAAGGGGATTTGTTGTTGAAGATTTTCTAGTTCTAGTTTGATTAGGAATAGCTTTGTTATTCACGAATCTGTTAGGAGTAGCAACTATAAATAGGGGTTGTCCTTTATTGTAGAATTCAAGCATTCAACATTAATCTTGTGAGGTCTGAAAGTCTTTGAGAATAGGATACTAAATTCCCCTAGAAAGTAGTACATGTGTTTAGGTTTCAATAGTTTGGTAGGAAAGATCATTCTATTGTGTAATCATAGGTTCCAAACAATGTACTTTAAATATTGAGCTTTTAGTGGATTTAGGCAAATTCTCAAATTGAGAAGTGCCTCGCAGATTAGGGTTGTTTGCCCGAACTGCGTTACAGATTGTTTGTGTTACAACTTCAGTTTCAAATCACTGTCTGCGTTTTACAAATTTCAGATCACTCATCAATAAAGCTCATGGACTCACTCCATATGAACTATGGAAAGGTAAGAAACCCGTTGTTAGTTATTTTCACATCTTTGGTTGCAGGTGCTTCATTCACAACAACGGAAAGAGCCATCTAAGAGCGTTGGATGAAAGCGCCAATGAAGGACTATTTATGGGATATTCCTCAGTAAGCAAAGCCTTCAGTGTTCTAAATAAAAGAACCATCGTGATTGAGGAATCTATTCATGTCAAGTTTGATGAGCAAGCCGAAAGGACTCCACGTGTTGACAAATCAACCAACATGAGAAATCTAAGCATTCAAGCCGAGCCAAGAAACATAGAAGATGAAGGTTCGGATCCTGAAGACTTTTTGTCATCTTATCAGAGATGTCAACCTAGATCAACCGAACCAGAAACAAGAGCTCAGAACGAACCAATCATAGAAGAAGTTACTCCTGCTGCACAAGTTCAACCCGAGCCAATGATCTATGTTGAACTGCCCTACATCCCTGACATGAATACACAAGCTCAACAAACATCATTTGAACCAGATATGAGATGGTTGAGAGATCATCTACCTGATCAGGTTATTGGTAATGTTCAAGAAGGTGTAAGAACTCGTGCCTCCATACACGTAAAAATATGATGGAATGCTTTCTATCATAAATAGAACCTAAATCCATTGAGGATGCCTTATGTGATCCAGATTGGGTCACAGCTGTGCAGGAAGAACTACATCAGTTTGAACGAAACAATGTGTGAGAGCTTGCTCCTAGACCCACTAATCAGAATGTTATTGGAAACAAATGGGTTTTCAGTAACAAAATGAGTGAGGATGGAATCATTATTATGAACAAGGCACGACTAGTGGCCAAAGGCTATTATCAAGAAGAAGGCATAGATTTTGATAAAACGTTTGCTCCAGTCGCAAGACTTGAAGCAATACGAATCTTCCTTTCCTATGAAGCCTACAAGAACTTTAAGGTGTTCCAAATGGACGTTAAAAGTGCTTTTCTAAACGGACTTCTTGAAGAAGAAGTCTATGTGGAACAACCTCCAGGCTTTATAACTGATCATGATAGTGATAAATTTTATCACTTAAAGAAAGCTCTGTATGGCATAAAACAAGCACCACGAGCCTGATATGATACCCTCTCATACTTTCTTATCAACTGTGGTTTTACGAAAGGAGTTGTTGACAAAACTCTCTTTCGTATCAAAGATGGTGATCAGATTCTACTTGTGCAAATATATGTCGATGAAATCATCTTTGGTTGCACCAATCCTGAGTTATGTGAAAAATTCTCAAAGCTCGTGCAAGGAAAGCTTGAAATGAGCATGAAGGGAGAACTAAACTACTTTCTTGGATTACAAGTTAAACAATATCCTGATGGAATCTTCATCAATCAGGCAAAATATACCAAAGATCTGATTAGAAAGTTTGGAATTGATGGCAAAACATCTGTCAAAATATTCCAAAGAGATAACCCTAGGAAAAAAGAGTGAAAATATTTTGGAAAGATCTACACACAAACAAT